AGTGCAGTAACTTCTCCACTGTCATTAAAACCTGTGGCGCAGGTCCATTTTGGGCGCTCAGGTTTGTTTACGTTCATCACGGAAGTAGAACAGAAGTAGAACTTCTTCTGTATTTTTTATAAGGAAAGTTTACCACTCTGCACATGTCAGTACTTCTATTCTAAATAAAAACCCGCTCCATGTAAACGCTTATCGTGAATGGATTGTGCCCATTTAAACGATACATTTGGATTATTTTATCAGAATACAATCGATCCATGCGCCGCCACCCCGAGCTTTTCCTTTCAGCTCATAGTCTCTGACCAGCTGGAATGTTGTTAGCCCCTCCAGGTTAACAACCATGTCGAGGATGGGCGGGGTTAACCACGTTTCCACCAGAATTGGAGCACAACAGTGTGTTACCTCTCTCCTTGTTGCTAGCTCAAGTTGAAGATGGTCCTTTTTTTCCAGTGAGCGGACATTTGCGAGCAGGAGAGATGGAAGTGGTGTCCTCCATGGGCTGGTTCTCAGTTTGGCTTTTGACCCTCGCCGGCTGCCACATTTCTGCTTTCAGTCAGACCACCTTCATTTTACCTTGAGTCGGCCTGCGCTGGCTTAAAACTCCACTGCCCGGGACTACTTCGCAAAGTATGATGACGTTTCGTAGATGCTAAGTCCTAACTAATTTTACTGATCCACTGCCACTGAATGTGTGTAGTTCCAGTAAGGTCCTGGAATCATAACTTATTCTGTTGTTTGTTTGGTGAAGAGTCCAATACTCCATCCATCCATTATCTTGTACCCGCTTCTTCCATTTTGGGTCACGGGGGTCGTCGATGCCCATATCCAGCAATCAATGTGCGAGGGACAGGGTACACCCAGGACAGGTCTCCAGTCCAACCTTCTCTTGGAGAGGTGACAGCTCTACCAACTGCGCCACCATGCCACCCATAGACGCCAATAAGTTTTATTCAATAATTGTACTAATTGTATTTTGCTCTGTCCATCCTACCTTCAATTGTGACCAGTTTCCCAGTCCCTGCTGATGAAAAACATCCCCACAGCATTATACTGCTGCTTCTGTGCTTTACAGTACAGGTGCTGTCCACAGAATAATGAGATGTGGTAGATTTGTCATAAACTTTGTGCTGTCCTTGATGTTTGTTGTCATTGAACGCAGCACCTTAACACCATTAATCAGGAGTATTCTTGGAGAATTATTGCTGTTGGTCAAATGAAGAATCCATGGTTGCAGAGAAACATCAAAGAAAGCATACCAAGACCAGGTAATTAGGCTTTGGAGGAGACTCAGAGTTAGTCTTAATAACAGTACAATAATCTTGGCTAAAGTTCAAGATAATATGCCACAATAAGACTTGCACTAATACTTTGGATGTCATATACAAAGCACGTTGAACTTTATAGGCTCTAATAGTGATTTTATTGTGACAGCTAGTCATTAAGTCATCGGACATGTTTGATGGACCTGTAAAATAATAGCAAAATATTTAACTGTGCAAAAGACAATACAATGTCTATGAGCAGCTAAGAACTGGACACCAGCTGGGAAAAGGCACATCACTCAGGCTTTTGTGTGTGAACACACTGCCATGTTAAAGTGTGTTTATCCAAATGAAACATGCATTCCTGTTTGCTGTTTGTTAATCCAACTGTGGTAAGTCAGACAGATGAGTTTAACCTTGACTAACTTGAGAAACAGGTATATTTTCATTGTTAACAAGTCATTGCACATAAACCAGAATAATTTGTTTTCCAAAGTACCTCTTAGACTAAAATAAATTTCACACCTATTTGTGGAATTATTATGCTTTTGTCTATATCATAGAAACACAAGAAGTCTAGTTCGTCTTAATCGCCCACCATTGAAATATAAAGGCAGACAATATTTGCTTTTGTGTGTACGTATGTAAATGAAGAACATATGCAGGATCTGATGGTATAGATTCTAAGTTGGGTCTCTCCAGCATGGCACACTCATGGTTTTCATTATACTTACCTGTGTTCTTTCAAGATTTCATGAAAAGGTCTGAGAGCCATGTTACGTTCTCCCTCCACAGTGGGTCCTTCAAGATTAAAGCTGGATTTATTTATGGAGAAGTAAAGAAATCCTCCCTCTTCATGGCACCGCAACATAATTTGTTTTCCTGCTGGGGTCTCTGCCTTTCTGTCCCTGGTTAAATACAGATTATAATCTATTACAGATTATGTACAGATTGTTGCTATTCCTATCAAACATTTTTATTACACAGACTGAGACAGTTATGTGTTGTCATTCTAGCTTTACTTTGTCATTTGCAACTTTGTCATGAAAAGACCACTCCTGTTTCTGACAGACGGTGCACAATAACAAGTGAATGTAACGTATCCCTACATTACCCGGCTGAGGCAAACTCCGTCTGTGGACACACATTGTGCTAGCTCCTTCCACAAGTTCTTTGACTGGCTCTTTAACTCTATTCAACTCTTTATGAGAGTTATTTGACTATTTTATATGTTTTGCAGGAACAGTTGTAAAGATTGCTGTAGTTTCTAATGGCCTTGGCCAGCTGCTCCTCAGCAGAGCAGGTGAAATGAAATGAGATCAGTGTAGTTCAGCTGCTTTTCCACATACATACGCACACAACAAAGTTCTGACCAGGGATACACGATATTGGATTTTTGGCCGATATGCCAATAAGTTAAAACTTATTTGGTCGATAATCGATACCAATACCGATATTTTTCACCTAGACCTACTTACTGAGACTACATAGCTTTCTCTGCTGTGGAATTAAAATACTACATTATTCTTCATGGTCTTTGTCAGTTTGGCCTCCTGCCAAATCCAGATGCCAAAAGGGGGTTTGACAATGATGTAACACTTCAACTTGGATTATGTTTAATGTCAAATTTATTCATGACATTTACTTTCTCTAACTCAATGACAACACTTGAATAGCGCAAATTTGTAAATTTTCACAAATCTAAACTCAATGGCACACGTGACGTCATAACGTTGTGTTGGTGCTGCAAGCATCCTTGTCAATGGGTTGTCATACAAAAACAGCACCTTTTTTATATATATATAT